GTGGAAAGCAGCTGTGCAATGATGTGGTACTCTTTCAGCAGGCCTGGAATAGAGAGCGGCGGCGCCCACCAAAGTGTCACATTGTTTGTTGTGATCTGAGAGACGGTGAGGAAGCGAGGGGCAGCAGGGGCTGTAAAGGTAGAAAAAGAGGATTGATTTGAGTGTTTTTTTCTTCATTAATGTTTATTAGAAATTAGAACCCAACATGCTGCACGTTATATTAGACCTGCTGACCTGATTCAGAAAGAGTGGCGGCAGTACAGTTTACACTGTCTCCAGGTCCGGCAGAGTTCACTGCAGTCACTGTGAGTGCATACTCCTGGTCTGGCAAAAGCCCCATCACGGTGTACTCTGGTATGGGAGCCTGGTGTGTGTAGGACTGTGAGTCTACCTCCAGAAGAATCTCATAAAAAAGAATCTGCCCATTAGGTTTGGCTGGAGGTTCCCAAGACAGCTGAACTGAATCCCAGCTGACACCGGAGCAAGACAGGTTACCCACAGCGTCAGACACTGAACACAGAGAAGTGATTCTAGCATTAGCTTTATTATTCTGCATACTTACAGTCGCTTTAGGAGAAGAAAACTAACTTTCATTTTAGTATTTCACTTTATTTCATCATGAACAAATAGTCTTTGCACACAAAAAGGCAAATGAGCAGAATGTAGACAATTTTACTGATTTGTAATATGTCTTAAATTATTATTATTATTATTATTTTTTTACTAACAATCACTACCACCTTTTATTTACTTTTGATTGCACAGCCAGGAATTCTGCAATAATCACCAGCTGCAACTGAGATAACATGAGCCTTGTCTAGCTCCATACTGATGAGTTTTAACAATGACATAAAGATGTGCTTTTGAACAAAAGACTCAAACTTAACTTCTCTGGCTCAGATTGTAGAATTAAAAACAATGATGTTTTTCTTTTTTTAAATGAGATGTTTTCAACATTCTCATCTATTTTTTAGTTTGCATCCTTTGTGAAAGGAGCAGAACTTACTGGATGTGTGGCGCTATTACCAAAACACAAGCATCAGGAAATGTGTAATAGGATGCCTTTATTTGAATCAGGTTGAAGTAACAGCCATAAACTTTGTTTTTAAAAGATGACTTTATCAGTTTTTAATTTTGCTCGTACTCTGCTGGAAACATTTGAACTCGGGCATAACAGGCTGAGTGGTTGGCTGAGTGCTTTTGGAGATTACTGTGGCTAAAATGAGTCCAGACATTTTATTCATCATTATGGGACGCTGTCAGGTCCACTTTTGTGTTTTTTTTTTTTTCTTATTTTCTTTTTCAAGATATCTTAGAAAGAAATAGGCAGTCGATATATAAAAGGGTTATGACATTGATTTGAAAAATACTTTTGGTTTGTAAGACAATCAATTTTGAATCACAAATGTTGAGCACCTCAATGACATTGGTTGTCCAGCAGAAGTTGTTTACGTTACCTGACTCATTAGTTTTGAAGGTCACCGGGCTGCTGAACTGATTCCCATGGCCCACCCTGGTGTAACTGTAAACACTGATCTCATAGGAGCTATGAGGCCTGAAGCCTGATAGATACTCTGTTGTTGAAGGACCTGAGGAATTCTATATTTGTGCACACAAACACACACACACACACACACACACACGGATAAAAATGCCACATAGGACAGTAGTTAAAAACTTTTTCTGCTGGGCCGATTTTGCCCTCCCAACTGTCACTATACAAAGCAACACATATTGACACACAGTAGACACACTGTCAACAAGCTCTCTGCTAACAAATTCATATATTTTTTTAATATTACCATAAACATTGGCTGCAAAAAGTACAGAATGGCAGTTCAGTTTGTGACAACAAAATGAACAAACTAATAAGCAACTTTTCAGGAGGAAGTTAATTAAATGTGATTCTGCACCATGAAACTTCTAAATGTGTGATGTCTGGTATTAATGCAGTTTCAGCCTTACATTCACCTGGAAGTCCTCTGACAAAATTTGCCCTGCTTTTTGTGAGAGGACTCACGATAAGTGAAAAACGTTTGTTTTCACTTGTCATAACCCTGGGCCACCCCTAGGGGTCCCACGCCCCACTTAGGGAATCACCGAGATTAAATCATCCAGCGGTGATTCATTGAGTCGATAACATCTTATTGTATCAGCACACATGTGTGTGTGTGTGTGTGTAATAATACTGCTGAGTGGTATTTGAGGTGTGAAATTAGAGCTACCCTCTGTGTGGCAGTGTGTACTCTTACTGAGTGGGGCTCTGGAGAGTGTGACGGTGTGTGCGCTGGTATTATTGTGGAGTAGCTTTGGTGTGTGAAATTAACGTTACCCTGTGTGTGACAGTGTGTGTGATGAGGTCTCGGATCCTGAAGCCGTACTGTATCACCACTCCATTGGGCTCCAGGGGCAGCTCCCAGCTCAGCCACACAGAGACGGCAGTGTGGTTGTAAATAGTCAGGTTACGAGGAGGGGACATGGGGCCTGAAAGGTAGAGGAAGAACGTGTATTTAAAAAAATTACTTGCATGCATAAATACCATCTCAGTAGGATCTTCATCTTCAAAAACAAACCTCCTTCATCAGTGTGCAGCTGCAGCAGCAGGTTAGGCCCTGAGCCTTTGCGAGTTGCAGCAGTGATAGTGAGATTATAAGCGGTGTATGGCAGTAGGTCGGTAAGAATGGACATGGTGCTGGGGGTTTGGGTTGTGTTGGATCCTCCTGGGCCAATGAGAGTGAGGGTATACTCAGTTATCTCGCCGTTGGCCTCCAGAGGGCGCTTCCAGACCACTCTGATAGAGGAGGATGACAGATTCCTGGTGGATACCAGCAATGGAGCAGAACTAGGAACTGAAGAACATACAGACATGTCAGTATCAAAACAAGTTAAAGAATGATACACCATCGGATGACGTATGTTGTTGATAAACTCACTATCATCGTCTGTTCTCAGGTCCATTGTGCTGATATGGTTGTAGGCAGGGCCAGCACCAGTTGCAGGGGTAACAGTGAACACATAAGGGAAATACTTCCTGAGTCTGGTGAATAGGAAGACAGTGTCAGTCGTGGTATGCTTGATGGTCTTGTTGACAGCCGGGGCCCCTTGGACGGATACGTTTGGGATGATGCCGGCCTCCTGTAAGGTGAGCAGGTAGTAGGGACGGCCATTGGGCTCAAGGGGAGGGTCCCAGCTGACGATGATGGCTGTGGAGCTGAAGATCTGAGCCGACAGATTTTTGACCGAGTCGCTTGGCACTGAAAAGGAAGACAAGTAAAACCAACGTTACTAATATTAAACCCAAGTGACAACGCCGGTTAAAAGCCTATTATGAGTATGTAAATTAGGAAAGCAATCAACCAACACACTCATGACACTTTAGGGGAAATGAACAGCACACCAGTCATCATCATTATCTGTCATAACCATTGGCAGCATGGTTGTGATTAACAAAACACAAACAACAGCACATCAAGTAGAACAATAAGGCATGGCATTAATTCAGCAAAAAAAGCAATGTGAAACAGTACAGTAAACAGTCATAAAAACAACATCAAGGACATTTAAGAGCTCCTTCAGAGACAGGTAGAATAATATGAAGAGAAACTTTTTACATCAGGGAAGAAAGCAGTTGAAGAGAAAATACTCAGCCTGTTCATTGTCTTGGTGTCTCCAAAAATAACACATGGTAAACAAGGTAGAAAAAGGGGGAGATGAAGGGAAAAGGGGAGGTAAAAAAATGATGAATGAGTGGATGTGAGGGGCCGGGTGTGTGTGGGGGTCTGAGGCCCAGGGGAGTGAACCCCCCCCGCTGGGCTTGGCAGAACGAGAGAGACAAGGTGTCCTGGAGCTCCGATACTTGGCTGAGAGTTGAGCAGCTAGCTAGAGCACAGGCAGAGATACAGAGTCAGTATGACAAGTAATCATTCAGAGACAGAGAATACTTCACAAGCAAAATGTCGACAAGAAGAACTCAAAACTAAAATCAACAGACAAATATGTGACAAAGTCTGTGGCAGCTGTCTGCACCATTTTTCCCAAAATCACATAAAAAGAGATAAGCTTTATGTTCACTTCACTTTTTACTCTGAGGATGCAAAAAGCATGACTAAATATATCAGACTATTCAAATTTGAGTTTCCATTGTAACAATACAATTTCTGCTTTTATTCTGTCACAAAATAACCTTTCTCAATGAGCATGAAGCTTTTTTAATTGTTCTGTATGACATGATACAATGGTTCTGCCCTTTCTTTCTTTCTCTTTCCCCTCTCTCTTTTGATTGATTTATCTGAACGTTCATCATACATCGTAAAATGAAACACAAACTGGCTGTCTTTGATGCAAAGTGTCAGAGGCCAGTTGGACAGACGGACTGTTTTCTCCTTTAACTAGCAGGCTGAAAGCTACATCGTCTTTATGCAATTTTTTAGTAGGAAGTTAAAGAGTTTTGAAAAAAGTGTGCAGACGTGTGACCAGCGAGACTCTGAGTCACTGTGTGCAGTAATCCTCTCTGTGTGTTGTAATTATATGCAGCACTTAATTGCTATGTCTATTTCTTTGAACTCATTTCTAAAACTGTATGTAGGTGTGTGTGATTGAATGACTGACCGTCCTCCGGTAAGAAGATGATTATCGGATCACTCCGGACCCCTCCGTCCCCCTGCACGGTGCTGGAGGTCATCCACAGGGAGTAGTTTGTGCCCCCAACCAGCCGGGTCAGAGTGTAGGAGAGGGCTGAACCAGGAGAGGCCGGGGCAGGTAATGTGGAAACAGGAACTCTCTGCAGATAAAAAAAAAACTCTTGAGGTAACTCTTACTCTTTTAATTAGAGCAGTACTCATTTTTTTATACTGAGAGGTTACATATGAATGGATAACCAAACAATTTCAGGTGTTGGTCTACCAAAAGCATTTAAGATTTCGTCCTCTAAGTAATTTAGATATGTTAGAGCAGTACTGATATTTTGATCATTTGGAATCTGCACAACAAAACAGCCACCATTATCTATTTATTGAATGTTTTAGCAATTAGCTTTGACTAACTCATAGCTTTTTAATTAACTTTTTACATATTCATCAGGTTTAACTGACAAATGGCAGTCGTACATCCTCTCCTTTTAGCTCTGTTTTGGTATTAATCATCTTCCCTGGTTTTTAAATACTTCCACATATGTGCCTCTTTCTACTTTGATGTGAACTATTTAAAAAAATAAAATAAAATGATTGGCCAATCTTGACAAGTTTCTCTGGAAGAAGAGATGTTGAATCTCAATTTATGTGACTCACCTGCATATTCACAGTGTTGTTATCAGAGTAGAAAATAGTGTAAAGTACAACGATGCCATTGGGTTCAGTGGGTGGATGCCACAGCAAGGTGACGGAGGAGGCGGTCACATTTACAAAAGTCACATTCTGCGGGGGGTCAAATGGTTCTGCAAGTAAGGAGGCAAAGACAGAAAGGACACAGACAAACATTCAGACAAGTTAGAAAAAAATCTAAATATTTTGTATGTGAGGACGATGAAGCTATCTGTCAAAACTGTTTCACCGAGCATCAAACACCTGCGTCAGTGGTGGTAAAGCTGATGTAGATCAGTACCCCTCCGTCTCCTAGCCTGGTCCAGCTGGACACAGAGGCGTTGTAGAGGCTCTGTGAGTCTACGTTTATAACCACAGATGTCTGAGTTACATTCTGCCACAGCTCAGTTGTTTCATTCCTGACAAAGAGAGAAAGCATGCTGTGATGTCTTTTCTTTTCTTTTTTTGCAGAGATGGTCAAATTGTGATACTCACCAAACTCTGACAATGTAGTAGAGTACTTTTGAATTGGCTTCAGGTGGCGGTTGCCATGACAATTCTACCTCATAGTCTGACAACTTTGTGGCCCGGAGGAACTGAGGTGGCGTGTCTGGAGCTGAGATTGCAGGAGAAAGACTTTCCAGTAACACAAAGCAGACCGTAGACTGACTTTTTAAATAGAAACTGAAGTGATGAGTGTTTTTTTAATATATTTGCACCGGGCAAATAAGAACCTCAGTCTCAGGACCGAGCCAGAGGGAATACTGCGCTGAAAAGAAAGACTGTTTAGTTTTAGTGACTCTGTTGTTTGCACTGCTCAGTCCTGATGGAAGACACGAGTGCCAGGCGGCGACAAAAACCTGTTATGTAACACTGTTAAGCATGAGCTGAAACAGAGAAATGTAAGTGAGGAGGAAACGAGGAGAGAAAAAGTCAGATTTAATCAGACACCCTTGAGCTCAGCAATGATGTAACCATGCAGGGTGCTGGAACTAAAACTCAAAAACCCTCCCTTTTCCATCCCCCCCCCCTCTCTCTCTCACCATCCTCCAGTGTGGTGATGTTGAGCGCTCGCTGCTGTAGTTCCCGGGCCCGACACGTGTGTGCGTTTGCACCGCGACGCGGTAGTGTGCGTACTTCCTCAGGTGTGTGATGTGGAGGCTGTTGTTGGTGAGGTGAAGTTCAAGTAGTGACTTGAATTCCAAAGCTCCAGGCTGTAGTGGGTAATCACTCCGTTAGGTAGCAGAGGGGGCTGCCAGGTTATGTTCACCTCGCTGGGACTGACCGACTCGTAAGCCACACCATAAGGAGGACTGCCGGGGACTGGAAAAGAAAACAGACCAAATATGCACTTTAAAAATCTGCTCTTTTCACCATGTTCACATGTCAGCCATCTCCGTCAGGCATTATGATCACACAGGGAAGCTGAAATGTTGTTCTACTGTATTCCAGGTGTGCAAGTCATATGAAAATAGTGAATCTGTCTTATTGTTACGTATTCAACCTTTGTAATGTGATCAGTAACTTAAAATACTGAATAGTGAAAACAGCGCTTTTTAAAGGTATAACATCTTTTTTTGGGACTGATCAGCTCATTACAGCTATCTTAAGTCGGGAGCGTGCCTATGTTCCCACATTTCTAAAGTTTTTCTCAAAATTAGTCCTTTTTCATAAATTTGTATCAGTTAAAGTTAGAGTAACTTACCCTAACCCTTACCCTATCCTGTGGGAATATAGGGCCTAATTTTGAGAAAATTCTTAGAAATGTGGGAACATAGGGCTGTGGGACCATAGGGCTGTGGGAACATAGGGCTGTGGGACCATAGGGCTGTGGGAACATAGGGCTGTGGGACCATAGGGCTGTGGGAACATAGGGCTGTGGGACCATAGGGCTGTGGGAACATAGGGCTGTGGGACCATAGGGCTGTGGGACCATAGGGCTGTGGGAACATAGGGCTGTGGGACCATAGGGCTGTGGGAACATAGGGCTGTGGGACCATAGGGCTGTGGGACCATAGGGCTGTGGGAACATAGGGCTGTGGGACCATAGGGCTGTGGGAACATAGGGCTTGGAACATAGGGCTGTGGGAACATAGGCTGTGGGACCATAGGGCTGTGGGAACATAGGGCTGTGGGACATAGGGCTGTGGGACCATAGGGCTGTGGGACCATAGGGCTGTGGGACCATAGGGCTGTGGGAACATAGGGCTGTGGGACCATAGGGCTGTGGGAACATAGGGCTGTGGGAACATCTGTGGGAACATAGGGCTGTGGGACCATAGGGCTGTGGGAACATAGGGCTGTGGGAACATAGGGCTGACCCCCTTAAAGTCAACAGCTAATCTTAGCAATGAACCAATGCTAGCTTCCAATTAGTTAGTTTAATATTTTTTTTTCACCTGTCACAGATGTTCAATCAAGCTAACAATATATCAATAACTTAAATATCTACTGTTAGAAACCAGTAAAGGTCGGTAAACAACCACTTCCTGACATGCATTAGCATTTGTTAATGCTGTTGTACATAACGCAATCGGTAAGGCTTGATTTTATTGCTAACTCTAAGTTAACTAGCTAACAGTAATTGTAGGTAGACATGGATTGAATTCTGATGTTAGCTGATTCTTCTCTGTCAAATCTCAAGCAAATATGTTGTCTTATCTGAAAATAGGGTGCAATTTCCAATTTCTAATAAAAAGGCATGCCCTTTAATGATAAAAATGTATCAGGTTCCCAACATTTATATGATTTACAACCTTCAACACAGCAAACACCACTTTATAGCAGCATTTGAGCAGCATTCCCCCCCTGATCGTGATGTCACAGGGGAATGGATGCCACATGAACACAGTGAATGGATGTCGTCACTACATGTTTTTTTCAAAATGTGTGTTTTGGCCAAGGTGGGTGCATATCCGTCAACGTACCGTCCTCTCCGGACAGCAGGTATAACATTTCTGATGTCTGGTTGCCGTGGCCGTAGCGCGTGTACGCCCTCACAGATACGTTGTAGTGTGAGAACGGCTTCAGGTCGATCAGAGTGACCGTGTTAGAGGTCGTGTTCATCAACGCGGAGTAGGACTCGTTCTCATACGTGACCTCATAATATTGGATCACTCCGTTGGCTTTCTCAGGTGAGGACCAGGTCAATGTAGCGGTGGAGGGGCTGGTGTCATCCACCATGAGGTCCACGGGAGGGGAGTCGGGCTCTGAACGAGGGTTAAAAATGAATAATTTAGTTATTTTTCATTGAATTATATGACTGGATTGATAGGTAATTGAAAAACACGTATCTGTAAGCACACTGTGTCACTATTTATGTTTTTCGACACTACAATTTTCTTTTTATGGCACTATTTATCATCTGTGTTTGAGTTGAGCACATACCATCCTCTAAGGTGTAAACAAAGATGTCGTCTTCCTCAGACAGAGAGCTCTCTCCGACAGCTGTAGACGCAGCTACACGTAGCTTATAACCAGTATATTTGTCCAGATCTATCAGTCACAGACGGTTTACATGAGTATCACACTTGTATCATAACAAATATCACAATGACTGCCTAGACGTGTGCAGCGAAAGGCGTTTACCTGTTATCAGTATGCTGGTGGTGTCAGAAACCCACTGCAGGGCTTGATTACTGCGCAGGTTGAGGCCATAGACAGCGTAATGTGTGATCAGCCCATTGGGGTTAAGAGGTGGCACCCAGGTCACTAGTATGGATGTGGAGCTGATGTTTTGATAAGACACTTCCAGCACCGAGCTAGGGACTAAACAACACACACAGTATGAAAAAAAATCGAAAAATGGATAGTCACATTTCAAGGGCTTGTCATAGTTTTTCTATTTTAGTTGTCGCGTTTTTTAGCGACATGTGACCACCCACCCTGCTCCCTTGTCTTCTCAGTAATGTCCCTCGCAGGACCTTCTCCCACAGTGGTAGACGCAGTGACCCTGAATGTGTACTCAGTGAAGGGATTCAGATCTGCCACCAGGTAAGACAGCTCCTCAGACAGAACGTCCATCACCTCCTCTCTCACTGTCACGCCTACAGCATTCATGCAAACACAAATGGTTATAGAAGACATAGTATGCACACACACAGGAATCATACAATTTAAAAATCCTTCCATCGGGGCTTAAGAGAAGCGGTGTTTAGTGTTAGTGCTCTCCCACCTGTGCTACCAGAGGCTGCTGCAATGCGTGTTGAAAAGTGTCCTGTTATGGATGCATCATGTGTGGATATGCGGAGCTGGCCCGGGGTCAGAGCCAATTGTGAGGAGTCTGAGGTCATATCCTGAGAATTTGATTGCTTTGTAAGCCAGGGTGGAAGTGAAGCAGGTGGCACAGATGTAAAAGAAAATGCAGCAGTCACTACGGTAGATTGAATATCTTCGCTGTTAGCGGCTAAAGAAGTGACTGAAGTGATGCTGGAATCATCAGAGATCATGGAGTCAGCAGCTGGTTGATCTTCAGTGTTAGTAATGTGGTCGGCGCTTCTTAGCCAGAAACGTGTGAAAGCGGAAGCAGTAACCGCGGTGGGCAATCTGCGAGCTGAAAGAGTTGCTGTAAAAGTCGGCGCGGACGTCATCTCACTGAGCTCGGCGTTCCTCTTACGCCTTGCATTGTTCGGGACATCAGGAGGTTGGGTATCATCCTCATACATACCAGTTGCGTTCTGAAGGAAGAAAAGTTGTATTAACGTTCTGTCTGCTGATTTTGATTCCTTCTGATTGGGTGCAGTGTAAAGCGCACTCAATACTTTTGACTCATCAGCCCCTTAAAACAATGTCGAGTTGAATCAGTGGACATCAGTGGACAAGGCTTGCGGGTTGCATTTAGATGGAGGCTGTTTTTTTTTAATGGAGCCTCTAACTTTAGAATTCTTCTTTTAGCATTTAAAGGGAAGTGGAAACAGCAGTAGTGTAGTGAAGGCTAATGTAATCCATGAGGTCATTGGCTACAAATGCTTGCTAAAACAAGCTGTGGGTGAGAAAACGGCAAAGCACCGTTAAGCAGTATATTTATTTATTAGGTTGTTGGAGTGTTTGATTAAAATCATAGTGAAAAGGCTGTTCAAACATCAATCAAGAGAGTGTGATCAATGCCCCCGAAAATGTGTATATGTACAGTAATGATCTGACAGTTTTTGATTAACATGGAGGCTCTGGCATGGTTGCTATGTATTACATTTGCCAAGTACAATCATGTATGGCTTACCATTTCTGAGGTGAGGGTTATATCCTGCAGCAGGACCTCCTCAGCCAGCACCTGCAATTTGTACTGGGTGATGCGACCGTTGGGCTCGGCAGGGCTTTTCCAACTCACACGGATAGAAACTGAATCCTCAGCCACCGCCTTCAACTCCTGCACCGCACTTGGTGCTACACACAAACAGACAAGATAGACTCATACTTAAAACAAAGCAAACACACACTCAAAAAAAATACCGTGGATATTGTTTCCTTTCGACAGCTAGTTGTAAAACCAAAAAAGAAATGGGGTAGTGACATAACTCTAAGAATGGTCTCACCTTCAGGGGGTGTAATTACATCCTGCTCAGCTGCTGGACCCACCTCTCCAGCAGCTTTTGCTCGGACAGCCACCGTATAGCTTGTGTAGGGGGTCAAACCAGTAAAAGAAAACTGCATGTCTCCTGTGCTGTTTTCATACAAATATCCTGTGGTGAAAACAAAAGAGTATGTAATGCTTGGCTGTGAATAAAGGCAGAGTAAGAGACGGTTGATAAAGGCATTTGAGTTGGTCTGAGAGATTGTTAACAATTACCTGTAGGTCCATAAAGGTAGAGCATGTAGCTAAATTTCCCTGTAATGATGCTGGGAGAGCTCCAGGACACAGAGATTGATCTGGATGTCATAGTCAATATATTCAAGTTTTGTGGCGGGTCTTCTGGGGCTGCCGTACAAAAAAAATATTTAAAAAAAATTAACTTGTATGCAGTAAATCAAATAACACAAAAAAATTGCTATCATGCTTCTTTTTTCCATACCTGATTCTGGCATGCGAACCATAGTGGAGGCTATCTGTCCCTCTCCGTCAGAGGTGAAGGCAGACACCTCGAAGAGATACGCAGTGTAAGGTCGTAGCTGGTCGACTCCCACTGATATGGGGACACTCCAGGAGGCTGCAGGGGGTACAGCTGAGTGGGTGATGGGGGATGATGGCGCTGTTATCTCAAAGGGACTGGGAGTTGCACGGGAAAGGATGTCTGCTGCATCCTAAACATTCACGACCATACAGGACATACACATGGAGAAAAAGTACATGAGACAACAATGTAGTTTCTACTCTGCCTTGGTAGCATCTATGGTTTCTTAAAAAAGAACTACAGAAATAGAATGACTACAGAGGGCAACAGTATAATGAAGTACGTTGCAGTGTGGAAGTGCTCCGGTCATGATGTCCTCTGCATTGACCTCCAATGTACGGACCGTCTGCCCAGTACGGGCGTGTTTAGCCTTGACAGCAAACTTTGTGATAAGGCCGTTGATGCGGTGTGGTAGGAACCAGGTTACCATGACGTTGGTGTGGTTTTGAGCGAATGCTGTCAAGTTGGTCACCAAACCAGGAGCTGCAGGAGGTTCAAACATAGATAAATGTACATACAACCTCAAAAACTGAATCTGTAAAAAATGTATTTTCTTATATATCATTATGCAAGTGTTTGGCCATATGTGTTTATACCCACGGGACTCAGCTGTCTTTATGTACAAAGACTTGCTGAAGGCCCCGATTCCAGCTGGAGAAATGGCTGCTACCTAAAGGGAGCGAGAGAGAAAAAAAATTATTAAAAAGACAAACTTATTTTTTAGCACTGATATTTGTTTCAGAATACATTGAAGGGATTTTTACTGCTAAGACTATAAAAGATAACTTTGATCGTGTGTTAGGTATTTGTAGCCTGTGATGACTTTAATAATGAACTCAGCTTTGCACAGGGTTTACTGAGCCACAAACACTCACTAAGGTGTGATGCAGTAATTCGATACTTGACACAGAAACACACAGAAACACACAATAGAGTAGGGCAGTTATGATAACAATGTGTGTGTCGCTCTCAGAGTCCATTTGTATGAAGGTCAGTGTGGGTTAATGAATTCTGAAAACTAATAAGCACGATCACATTCAAGCTCAGTGACAACAGACAGTGGAAAGAGCCAGGGCTGATCCATAGATCTGTTTACCTGATGAATAATGCAATCAAGATCAATTACCAGTATTCAGCCGGATCGAGAGAAAAGTCTTGTCCTGTTGGATCTGAGTTAGTGAGCCACATTCACATGATAATACAGGAGGCACGTTTCCAGAGACACTGATGTATATAGTACAGCATGCATTCCAATATTTAACTTCACGTGTCTACACTCACATCCAGTAATATTCAATGAATTTGGTCTTTTATGTATTTGTTTATGGAGTATCCCATCAGGGAATACAACCTAAACGCCTATTGTTTTCCTATATATAAAGCTATCATTGGTTAATCGTATGTTGTATCCTTTGTTTTCAGTTTTTGTTTAAACTCTCTGTTGTGTTTTGTGACGTCCAGAATTTTCTGTTTGGTTTTCATTTTTACAAGAATTCACCAAAGGAAAAATAAAGTTTTTTTTAATCTTGCATTTGAACGTTCTAACCTCAATGTGGTAAGTTGAACCCGAGGTGAAGTCAGTGAGCAGGGTCTCTGGTATGTCCAGGTACTTGGTCACCTGTGTGAAGGTGGGATCAGGATAGGGACACACCTCCTTGTACCTAAAGCAGGAAACCATTTTTTTTAAGATCATCATCTTCAAACTCACATCATGCATTAATGAACAGTTTGGGGCTGAATGAGAGACTCTGCTTCTACTCCATTAAATTCACTTGGTAAATATTGCAATGTTGGCATATTTAGCAATTCTTTGTTGTTAATGCCGTTTCTTATTAATGAGGATTTTCTCATTCAGTTCTAAAAATCTGCTATTCTTGCAATTCTTTGATAAAAGAATGTTTTTACTAATTAATCTCCCCCATACTTAATAGGATAGAAAACTAAAATCGCCACCCAGATCTACTACAATCAAAATCCAGCTAACACATTAAAGCACCAGTGAGCTGTAAAAGGGGCCACATGGCATTACAAGTAATTTTCCTCTTACTTCTGCTACATTTAGCTGGAAATTCTTCTGTACTTTTACTTTAACCCACTGTGAGGGTTTTTAACAGGTTATAAAACTAAACTCTGTATGACCTACAAAAGGAACAAGACACATGTTTTACAGTAATGCTAGAAACCGCTGACAGTGTGTCACTGCCAGATAAGTGAGTTACAGCACACATAGAAGACGTAGAACATGATACATTTAAGTGTTAAAGACAGCAGTAGGATTTTCTCACGATATAATTCAACTTTTGCATGTACAAGATATTATCAGCAAAGAGATAAGAAACACCAGTTTGTTTACGAGGGTCACAAAACTAACAAAATATGAAAGCTGACAGGAGCTTTATTTAAGATTCAAGATGTCGGTAGGCAATAATTTGTTCTGAATTTTTCTATGACTATTTTATTAGTAAATTAAATGATCTGAATACTTTTTTTCGGTCTTGAAAAATGTATCATCTTCGGAGTCATTCCTCATGTTTTAGCAATACAACAACCCATGACAAGTTCTCCAAGAAGATGAATTACCTGATGACATATCCGTCGATATTTTTCGCATCAGATGGCATCGTCCAGGAGAGCAGGATACCGTTAGAACCAACAGCCTCTCCTTCAAGACTTGAAGGTGGACCAGGGACTGGAGGAACAGAGGGGACATGTGTGAGGAAGAGAGTTAGGAAGTAAGTGTCTTTTCTCATCCAGTCTTTTCACTCTTTTCATTTTCTTCATCAACATCAACACATTATTGTCCATCACAGTAAAAATACAATATGTGATATCAAACTTTTGTTTACCAAAACCACCAGAACACAGAATCAGTTTAAGGATATTCTCGATGTCCTTGTAAGAGTGATCACCAGGGCGTGTATGTGTGTGTGTGGTTGTGAGTAAGTGTGTGATTTCGGCCGATCTCTGATGAACAAGGCCTTACACAGCAGTGGCATTTCACTGACATTCACTGCAGACCCATTCATCCTGCGGTTCAAAAGCCCAGGTTTAAGTTACCTTAGAGGAATTAAACAGAGAAGAGAGGACACACACACACACACACAAACGCACACACAAACATGGACACGCACACACATGCACACACACACATCTACTGTACTAATTTCTGTCCCTGAGTGTTCGGTCATGTGTTCTTCGGAGGAGTGAGTTAAACAGCAGAGGGCAGAAGAGAACCTGCCGAAACTTTGACACCAAAAAACAAACCCAGCAAAACCAAAGAATGTGAGCATGTGCATTTCTCACCGCTCTCATTGGTATTGATCATGCGGCTGACTCCAGGGCTGATGACTGAAGACGAGGATACTGTGACTGTTGCAGTGTATTGTGTGCCTGGACTCACACTCACCACATCAGCCTGTGAAAAACAGCAAAACATACACGCACCCTGTCACAACATACACACATAATGTCGTTGGTAATTTACTCTAGAAAAGTGGTTCCAAACCTTTTTTTTTCTGATATACCACAACTATAACTCCTTATCCAGTTGTGAGTGTGTGTCTAGATGGTAGATCATTTTAAAGACATGTTAATCTTTGTTTTTAGGTGGGTTTTTTTATAGGTTTGTTCATGTTTCCATTAATCATTTTAGCTTTTGTTAAGCAGGAGCTGTATTTCTTTTAGTTATTCCTTACATTCAACTCAGTTTCTAATTTCTGTGAACCATTACCTTAAATTTTTAAAACCTTGCTCTCACAGTTTCAGTATGGTGATTGGCTTGTTGGGGTGAATCCTGTGCGTTTTAGTTTCTGTAGTTCATTTTTAGGTATTACAATAGAGATAAGAAAGGTCATTTATCGCTCGGGGTTGGACTCACCAGTGTCCCCACGATACGATATTATCGCGATACTCGAGACACGATACGATTTTTATTGCGATTCTTGACATTTTTGCGATACGCTGAGAATTGCGATACAATATATTGCGATTAAGCTTTTTCACTGCACATTATGTCCACTACACTAAACTAAATCAACATAATAAACATAAAACTCTCAATCTGTTCATCTCACTTCCGTCTTTTTATTTGTATTTCAGTCTAATTGAACTTGAACACTCATTATTAACAATGCAACTTGTTCAAAATGAAATGTGCAACCCCCTTCAGCAGTTAAAAATTAAAAAAGCATGTCTAAAATATCATATTAAAAATATCGATACTTAGCGACCATGAGAAAATAAAAACACACAAAATATTAACGATACTATACTGTATCGATTTTTTTTTACACAACCTCTATTTACCACACTCTGACTTTTGAATGATTCTTGAATTAAACAAATGCAACAGGATGTAAATAATTTCAAAGCTTGATCCAAATACATGACATTCTTAACAATTTACCATTCCTTGTTTTGCCATCTCTCATTTGTTTATGCTTCTTTTTGCATCCAGTCTGAAGCCTGAAGGCACTGTTCCTTTAACATAAAAACATTTTTTCAAAAAGCACTTGCACGTTTGTCAAAGTGTTAAAAGAACCAAGTTCATTCTTCTTCTCTTTCTTTCAAACTTGAATTGAACAGTTTTGCCTATTTGGTAAAGTACCTATATTTCCCTTTTAAAAATATGATGTGAGTATTGCTTTTCTCATTTGAACCTCTCCTTTTTTTCAAATTAGATCACCAACTGACAACGACAGAAGATAAATGAGATACATATACCCCTGGATCAGGATCTCTGCTGAACAACAGTAATCCTCTAATCATTTTCTGTAAATACAAGCAAGAATAAATCTCATTGGAGAGATGGGAATTCACTTTGTAAAGCTCTGCAACAGCACTTACTCAGCCTTCTGTTGTTGAGTAGTATTATGTGGCATACTGATACATCACCACAACTCTATTTGAAGAAGATCCTCAGCCATCTGTTTCAGTATGAAAAATCTTAAGTTGTGAATGGATGACACCTTGTTTCTGCTTGTGGTTGCACTTGTTTGTCTTAATACTTCGCTTGGCATACCCTGGTGTTGCAGTGTATTTGCTTTAATGTGTGTTGTGGCCAACATTAACACCTCAGAGATCAGTGTGGTAGATGGCAGTGTGCCGCACTATTACCTTATGTTACCGCCCCGAATTATGACTAAGCATTTTTTTTTTTTTTTTAACATCTGCGCCTGTTCTTCTGTGTATTTGACTTTTGACTGTGGCTGCAAGCCTTTAGAATGTGGATGCATGTTAAGTCTAATAGTCTGTGTGCCAGTGCAAGATAATACGAAGAAGTCTTACCTGTGAGTCTATCTGCCCAAGCAGAGTGTGCAGCAGGATGAGACGAGTGAAGGCCATGCTGGATAGCAGAGTAAGCTTAAGTTTAGAAACAGCAGGTTAGAGGCCTCCCCAGTACAGCAGCATCCAGAGTTAGTAAATAATCATTAGTAGTGGTCTACAGGTATTCCACTGAGCAGAACGGGAAAAAAAACACCTCAAGATCTAGAGGCTGGTTAGTGGCATGAGTAAGGTTGCAGGGTTAGTGGGCCAGCATAGGATATTAACAGTTCTAATCTTGAGGTATTCCAAATTTTTAGGTTCTGGC